AATAATCATGAGTTCCCGTTTCCTAATGAATATTCTCAACCTGCTCCAGAGATGATGAAGAGCTGAAAGTACATTTATAGAGCTGCCAAACTTTTTCATGTGCCACTGATTAGTTTGTGTTTCCTTGTTTATCACTGCTTAGTGGTGTAATAAGTCCTCAGATCTTTGACTCCCATTAATATGCAGCCATCTAAGCCTCCATTAACAATGTTATTATACCAACTCTGTCTTTCCAGTCATTTTAAAAAGGTTTTTGCTACTTTATGAAAATCTTTCACTGTTTTACAGCAGCAAAAATAGTTTTAGAATTTAAAATGTCTCTTATTATATTGATGTATAGTTTGATTAAAACACAATTAATTGCTATTAATTAATTACAGACCCTGTAATTAACTCAATTAAACATTTTAATTTGTATTGAGTCCCACTACTAAAAATTAGAGATGTAAACATAGAAAAACTGCATTAGTCTCCTTTATTTTATTCAAATTATTTGTGGCATCAGTGAGTGTGGAACCCCACTTTGTGAAAGACAGTTCTGACCTAACACTGGGTTTTCTATCCCATACAGAATAAATGTAGTGAAATTAAAAACTGGATCATCAAGGGTCAAAGGTGTTGCACTGGATGCTAGCAGCAACATGAGTAGCCATGTGTCAGGGACCAGGCCGAACAAACCGCAGAACACAGGTAGTTGAATCCAAAAAAGGTGGGTTTTATTTACCCAAAAATATGAACAAAAGTTAACATAACAATTAAAGAGGCATGCCAATAAAAGAGGTCAACATAAATTACTAGACGAAGACATAATTGACAAAACAATAAACTGACCTAACTGAAATGACACAGAAGGGGATTTAAATACAGGTTTAGCTAAACCATATGGACACAATAGGGGAAAACAAAATGGCTGCCACCTAACAATTAACACAAACAATAAAATAAACCCAAAAACATCCCCCCCCCAGCATGACACAGGTGGTTCAGTCCAATGAGGCCATCAGCTGTACTTTAGGAACCTCAGCCCTTTGCCACGCCTTTTATCCACCAGGAAAGGGAGCCAAACACCCAGGTAACTCAAACAAAGAAAACAATATTAATACAACATAATTAAATTTCGACCTTGCAGTGTTAATACGTGTGCACTCCATATAAACATTGAAAGGTGGAAAAAAAATATACTTAAACTTACAAAACAAACTAAAGTGAAAAGTAACTATTAATGAAATGTGGATCTCACCCTGTGTGGCTTGCCATCACATCATGTTTGAATGTTTGCTCTTTGGAAAGCACCTTGTTGGTGCTGATAAAAATCTCTTCTGTTTGTGATGTCCGTGTTTTTTTCTCTGGTATCAATTCAACTATAAAAATCAAATCAAAGTGTCTTTGTGAAACATTTTTTTTAGAAATGTTGGTTCTATGATAAGGTTTATGTTTATTTCTCTCTGGGATTAACAAAATACTTTGGAAATGAATTGAACTAATTCAATGCAATTCCTGAACTGAACTGAAGTGATTAAATGAAATTAAATTATCCATCCATCCATTTTCTTTTGTTTATTCAGGGTAAGGTTGCAGGTGAAGCAGCCTAAGGAGGTCCAGGCTTCCCTCTCCCCAGTCACTTGGGCCAGTTCATCCAAGGGCTGAGAGACATATTCCTGCCAGTGTGACCTGGGTTTTCCTCTGGGTCTCCTCCCAGTGGGATGTGTCCAGAACACGTCACCAGGGAGGAGTCTAGTAGCCGTACTAACCAGATGCCACAGCCACCCAGCTGGCTCCTCTTTACAAGGAGAAGCAACAACTCTACTCTTAGTCCCTCCTGGATGACCGAGCTTGTCTCTTGTCTCAAAGAAAGAGCCCAACAGCCTGCAGAGGAAACTCATTAGTATCCATGATCTTGTTCTTCCAGTCACAACCCAGAGCTGTGGTTCCTGTATGACCCTGTACCAGTCATACAGGGACCCAGCAGCTCGTAGGAACTTCCAGGACCCTGCTGAAGGTTTAGAGCTGGTCCACTTTTCCACAACCAGAACCAGAACCACACTGCTCTTCCTGAATCTGAAGTTCGTCTGAATGATGGACCCTCCCCCCCAGATCCCTATGAATTAAATTAAATTAAATTAAATTAAATTAAATTAAATTAAATTAAATACTGCCTTACTAAATGTTTGGGTAGTGACATAAAACTTGTGTTCCACACAGTTTGCAGTTTCTGTGCAGACATGTTGTTTTTGTGCAGTGATTGGATGCAGATTTATTCAGAACAATAAAAACTCTCACCTAACGAAGTATTTTCATATCAAATCACATTTCTACTCTTATTTATTTTTTTCTGCCACAAAACAATCAACTACCTTCATTTCAGTCCAGTTGCATCATCAGAGTCAATGAAGCTGTGAAAGTCAGTCTGAAATGACTGTCAGTCTAATCAGCAGACTGATTTCTCCAAATGAGGGACAGACATGCATTCATTTCTTGGCTTGTTGTGTTGTCAGAAAAGCACACAGCCATCATCAGTTTGCATCGAAATGGCCTCTCATGTGAGGAACCTGCTGCTTAGAATACAGCAGCTGAAAGAACAGTTTTCCTTTCAAACAGGACTACCTCTTTCTGTGGAGTGCACTTACACAGTTGTTTTTCCACCAGTGCTCAGCCTGGCAGCTGGAAGGTGCAACTCCGTCTGCACACACTGGGAAAAACTGTTTTTGACAAAGAATGTAGCATAGAAGTTACTTTTGTCCAGGGAAAACATAATGGACACAGATTGAGTTTCTGCTGGACGTAGGAGCCAGATCTTAACCCACTGAGAACCTGAGCATGACTTAACTCTGTAAATATTGACTTTACACAAGATTGCGATGTATTTGCCCATAAATGGCTTTGGAACTTATGAAATAATTGTGTTTGTTCTTCTGTATGTCTAACAAACATGTCTCGCCTTTTTTTCTACTTGCTTCTTCCTTGTAGACTTGTCAGGATCACGGCACCCACAGAGCCTTTCAGTAAAGTACAATACTATTGAAAAGCCAATTTTTTTTTATAAACTTTATCACCAAGGGAAACACATTTTATAAATTCATTTCACACAGATTAATGTTTGAAAGTCCTTTTCTTCTGTTTAATTATGATTTTATGCTTACAATGAATGAAAACAGAAAAAAACAGAAATGTGAGCTTAATGAAAAGTATGTTTATAACTTGCTTAAATGTTATTTTCAAAATGTACTTTTAATCTGACAATCAAGTCTCTCAGGGACATGTATGCTAATTTATTGAATACGACTGTTTATCAGTTAGCAGGAGGTCAGGAGGTCAGACAGGTCGCTGGTCCGTCACAGGAGGAAACAGGAGAACCAACAGAGAACAAAGAAAAGGACAACATGCAGACTCAAAACCACAAGACCCGTTTCAATTCTTACTTTTATTTTATAAATGTGGGTCTTGGATACAATTGAAGGATTATTGCTTATACTTGTAAACATAATAAAGTTCTCAAGTCAAAGCACCCAGTACAGTAGATGGTTGCTGCAGAACCAACAGAGTGAGCTTGAGTTTCTCTGGACCAGAGGGCATCATGTTACTGTCAGTACTGAGGCTTCACCATGTAACTGAAGGACTTCTGGTCCGCCTCCCACCCAGGTAAAGAACGGTGATCACATGACTCATCAAAGAGAAGAAAAACACTAACCCTTACACCTGCAACCTCAGCCTGTCATATTTTGTTGCTTTTTTGTTTGAGAGAGGTGAAAGATTTAGAAAACTGCAAACTGCTGCAGCTGAACTGATATTACGTCAGACACCGGGCTTTGGAGTGTGACTTCATCACATTCTGCAGGATAAAGAGGAAACAACAACTTTAATCCACATTATGTTATGTGTGGAATTATTATGGCAAAAAAAAAAAATCATCAGATCATTAGTTAGAGAGGACACTCAGTCAGCTGTTTTTCTTTATAGCAAAAAAAATAAATAACAGGCAACAATTTACACATATGATACAAACATCTGTCTTTGTAAAATATGCCTTAAAATGTTGCTGTAATTTATGGCTCATATTTTATCAGATCAAATAGAGGATAAAATATGGAATGAGCCTGGAATCCAAAACAAAGATCTGCACATTTATGCAAATGAATGTTCAGTAATGAGCCATTACCTGACCGAGTGACAGAAAGCGTGGCTCTGACAGAGCTGGCAGCACAAACACTACAAAAGACTTTGTTTTTTTTCTTCAAGAAACTAAATAAACACCGTGTATAAATCTTTCCTCTATTTGACCTGAAAAGATGACAGATCATATCACTAATTTCTTTTTATAATTTTCTTTTTTTTACAAACAAAGTCTTCAAACATTAAAAATGATTTGTTGACTGAAAATCTTGTTACTTTTTTTAATACCAATAAGTCTGAAGCATTTGATTTGCATCTGTATCAGAGTTTTTCAAAGAGACATGTATTATCCCACCCCCACCCCTCATCATTTTCTGGAGCAATGACAGTGTGAGAAATTCCTGGATGACAAGAGCAAATTGTAAACCTGCTTTTATTAAGCGTCAGGTTTTAATTTAGAAAATTAGACGTTTTTCTTATATGGCTCAACACCGACATCTTGTGGTTTTGTTTAGCCATTACACTAAGACGTCATCCTCAGAGTTTTAAGAAATACACTGGATACATGATGGGTGACATCAGCAAAAAACATCTGGAGGTGAGTTTGCGGTGCAAACCGTGAACAGGAGTTTTTGTTCTTCACCATAAACTCATCATAACAGAATCAGAAGGTTCCATTTGTGTCAAAAATAAGTCGAAGTCATATGTGTAGATGTTGTTGGTCTATGTCATTGCTATGTGACTTTGGGTGATGTCTATGGTCTTAGTGCTTTATGGATATGTCGATGTTGCATGTAGCCGTTGTATATGTAGGTGATGCATATGTTAAATGTTGCGTATAACCCTGATTGGTAATGTATGCACCAATCAGGGCATACATTACATATGCCCTGCTTGCTGCATATGTAATGTATGCTTTAACTCTTTAACGTCCTGTGGGTTTACTGGAAGCTGCCACGGAGCCCGCGCGCCGTATTGGCGGTGGAGGCCCCGCCATATCGTGACCCACCAATCAGCAGAAGGTCTGCAGGTGAGCAACGGGAAGACACGTGGTGTGGTTCTCCACAAGAAGAGTAACACAAACACGGTGGGAAAGATGGAAAACAAGTGCAGTCAGGTGAGTTTGGCGCTCTGCAGGCCGCAGATTCAGTTCGGTCTGTAGCCACTTGGAATGTCCGCAAGCATGTAACAGGGAACATTAAAAGTTCGGGCTGCGGTGGCGCCTGTCAGGGTTGTTACATTGTTTTAAGTTGGGGCATTCCCAGTTCACTTGGTTTACTCACATTGATGCAGTGGACGCGTCTGTTTATTACCTTGTTCAAGTGTTTGTTGTTTTGCTGCGCCTCTAATCTAAACACGCCACAGCCCCGCAGTTACTGCATTGCTGCTCACTGACAACATGTTTGATGATTTATTTATTTAGACAGATCTGCTGTTGATTGTAGCGAATTTACAGAACTTCAGACTTTTATTACGCCAGAACCAGCCTCGATATTCTCCAGAGGGTACTGGTGTTTTCAGGTCTAGCTTAGCCGTAATACTATCGCTATCAAGTTTTGTTGTTGTTTTAGCTCGGTAAAATGTTTTGTCCGTGTCTTTTAAATTGATGTAACTGTAGATAATTTATATCCTTGTAAAATAAAAATAATTTCGATAGGACGTTTGATTAAACATACACCTGATTTTAATTACGGCCAGCTGCTGCTCTGTGGCGCCACCTCATGATCATTTTTCGGTACTGCCACATGTTTAAAGTTTTCGCTCCGTGTAAAGTTGCATCGGATTAAAGAAATATATTAATTCAGTAGCTCAAATCTAAAACGTGTTTATTATAGGTTTATTCACCTAGTGCGATATGTTTCTGTTGATGATGATGATATGAAATGTTAACATCAGCCCAGTTAGAAAGACCACCGTCATGTTTTGGGACTGTTGGATGAAGCTGAAGTACCCGGGAGAACATACTAACTCCATGACAAGAGACTTCAGGCTGAGATTCAAACCCAAAACCTTCTTGCTGCTAGTTGATAACTATGCTTTTGTGCAGCTGCTTAGCTAATGAAAATAAAAAAAAATCCAGTTTAGAATATTAAATTAGTCATTTTTAATATTGATCGGCATGCATACTGAAAGCATGTCCAGGTACTGGGCAAGACATAAACTAAATACTGGTTCAGGGCTCCCTTTGCATGACTTCCTCCATCAGTGCAGCATGACATGAAGGAGATCCGTATGTGGTTCCTCTGAGGAGCAGTGGAGGCCCTGGTTACTTTATCAACCATCAGTCCACAAGTTCTCTGTGGGTTTAATGTCAGACTGAATTGTTGGCCTCCAGGGTCATTGAAGCAGCCTTTGGTACAGGTACCTTTGGCTGTGTTGGTTGGTACCAAGATCTGCTAGAAAATCTAATGAGCATCTCCATAAAGCTGATCAGCAGAAGGAAGTATGAAGAGCTCTAAAGTGACTGTGTCAGGCTGTGGACCTGAGAAAACCCAGTGGACCAGAACCAGCAGGTAACATGGTTCCCCTCTACTGCCTGTGGAAACTTCACTCTGGACCCATAAACATAAATTATCTTCCTCTCTCAACTAGCAACTTTACTTGTATCTGAAAACAGGACCTCAGACCATTAAATAACATCCCAGGTCAGATGTTTCTGATGTCGTGTCTGGTCCAGTAATGGCCTATCAAAAGGAATGACAGCAGTAGAACATGTCCTGGATACGTCTGTGTGAGGTGGATCCTGAAGTTCTGACTCCAGTCTGTAGTCTGCAAGCTGTAAACTCCTGGTCGGGGTTTACTCCACGATCCTCTCAAGACTGCTGTTATTAAATGTTTCCTATGCACATTTGTATTCCATCTTTTTTCCTTCCACTAAAGGGGAATTTTCCAGTAACATTTTCCAGTAGGGCTGCATGATATGTGGAATGAACTAATTGTGATATTGTTGTTGAAAATATTGATTATAATTGAACGATTCTTTGATTATTTCTTCCTTTATTGTAACACAATTTCCTCACCACTCTGAGTTTTGTCGTCTCAACCTCTGGAAATATACATCAAGTGTAGAGATGAGCAGCAGTCAGAAGGCATCCGACTGGATGTCTCTTAGTTTTAGACAGTTTGTAGCAGACATAGCTCATTTACTCAGAGAGGTTACTGTTTCCTGTTGGTTGCTGAGGTGTTGTGAACAATGCGGCCCTGCTGTGTTTTGACTGTCAGGTGCAGAACATTGAGCGAGTGCAGGCTCTGGAAGCCTGGCTGGAAACGACCAACACCAGGCTGACCCAGGTTAATGGCCAGAGGAAGTACGGAGGACCGCCTGAGGGTGAGACGCACAGCCACACTGGGACACCATCATAAACGCGTTGGGCATACAATGCTGTGAAAAACTATTTGCCTCTTTGCAGACTTCTGCTGCTGTTTTTGTCTCTACTGAAAGTTTTACATCATCAAAATTGAATCAGACAGAGATGGGGTGATTAAACTGAAAGATAAATTTTTAAATGAGAATTTTATTCATTAAGGGAAAAAGTTATCCAAGCCAACCTGGCCGTACGTGAAAAAGCAAACAACCTAAACCATTGTTCCACCCTTAGCACCAACAACTGACATTAAGAGTGTTGATGAGTCTTTAACATCACTGAGAAATGTTAACCCTCTCTCCTTTACAAAAATGATCAAATTCAGCTATACTGGAGGGTTTGGAAGTATGAACAGTATGTTTTAGGTTACTCTACAATGTCTGAATTGGATTTAAGTCCAGACTTTAGCTAGACCCCCTCCAAAGCTGAATTTTGTTTTTTGTTTTTTCCCTTTTTGAGTCATTCAGAGGTGACCTTGCTGCCGTACTTTGGATCATTCTCCTGCTGCGTAATAAATGAGCTTCAGGCCATGCTCTGATGGCTGGACATTCAGGATGTTCTGGTACTGAGCAAAAGTCATGATTCATCAGTAATGACAAGTTGTCCAGGTCATGAGAAAGCAAAGCTGCTCCAAACCATCATACTACCACCGAGTTTGATTTTCAGTACGATTGTTTCTGAAATGCTGCTAGTTCCACACCACAGATGCACATCTTCCAAAACGATTTACTTTTGTCTTTTCACTCCTCAGATTATTTCCCTAAAGGTCTTTGGGATTATCAAGATGTTTTTGGTAAAATGTTTGTGATGGTTTTGGTCAGCTGTGGTTTTGGCCTTGGTTTATCCAGTCTCTCTTTCTCATTGTCAAGTCATGCACTCTGACCTTGCCTGAGGAAAGTGAGGCCTGCAGAGTGTTAGATGTTGTTTTGTGACCTACAGGTTGAAACATTGATGGAGTCATTTTGGTTGTCTGACCTCTGCTGGCTCTGTTGTCTGAGAGAATGTTGCATCATTCAGGTTTTCTGGAGGGCAGAAAGTGTTGACATCAGTGCAGTAAACACATGCCGGTAGATCCTGGACTTTTTCCTGACTCTGATACAGCAGAAAGAAGTTATTCAAACATGTCTAATGGAGGAAAGGAAAGCTATTTTGATAAAGCAGGTCAGATATGAGTCTTTCTCTTTCTCCACAAAAAGCTGAAATACTGAATGTCTTTGTTTAAATAAAACTAGGACATTATGCTGATGAAACAACTGACATGTTTCTGCTAAAATGGAGGAAACCATTGAGGGGCTTGGAACTGAACTGTAACTTGGATCATAGGATTCTTGATTGAATAGTTTGATGGATCCATGTGGGAAGGAACTTTTTTATTTGGTATATTGTTTTATGCTCTCTGTGGTCTTGTTGTGTATTGAGCTTGTAATATAAATATGTTGGAAATAAAAAAAAGGCTTCCGTATCCCTTTCCAGTCTGATATCAGTGACTTTGTTCTTCTGTTTTTAATTTCTTTTTTTTTTTTTTTACATGTTGCTTTTTGTGATCGTCACACAGGTTTATTTAAGTAGTTACATCTGCAAATGAGATGGTAATCAGGCCTCGGTTTGAGTTGTGAGAGTGAGCTCACTTTTCACAGGTTGGCTTTGACTGTTTTTTTCCCTTTATAACTGAAATCCTCATTTGAAACCTACTTATATTAACTCTGGTTATTTTTATCTTGACTATCTCAAGCATTTATATGCAACAATGTGAAAGCACTTTTTCACACCGCTCGGGTCCGTTCCCAGTATTTAGGTCTGCCGAGGTTTTACGTTTGTTTCCAAGATGTCGACATTTTCTTCATTCTCCTTCAGCTGCTGCGGTCTAACACTGCAGCAGACCGATGTTGGCCTCATGCATGGTCTGTCTTATAGAATGTTAAAGCTGACTTTTATCATTCTTGTCATTTTCTGTTCCTCAATAAAAAAAGTTGTTTATTGCTCAGTACTTATGGAGAGTCCTCTTGATGAGATAAATGGACCTGACTGGCCAGAGTTGGTCTGGCTGTGGAGAACAGACAAATGCATAACTGTCCCTCTGCTGTTTCTGCACCCTGCTGGTCAGCTGACTGAAGGAAAGGCCATGCACTTTTTATTTTCCCACAAGGAAGATAAATGTGTCTGTTTGGAAGTATATGCAGTTATATGGTGTGTAAACTGAAGGAGCTCCACATAAAGTCGGCTTACTAGACTTGTTGCTGTATGAAAGAATAAAAATGTCTAATATTCTGCATTGATAAAACTTGATTTCATATTAGATTTAGCAGATTTAGAAATACTAGATTTGGTGGGCCTATATTTCATAGCTGTAATATTTATTATGGATTTATATATTTTATGGATAGAATTTAACAACAGGATGAATAATTTTTTTCTTTTTAAATTGAAATAATTAAACCATGTTATACATTGTTTTGAAAATACCATAACACTGGTATTATTCAATATAATTTTACTGTGTCTAACACATAAATATGAGTAAAGTAGGAGTTAATAGGATTATCTATTCATTTCTTTTCATGGGGAGGCAGAGGTGATGTATTTAGTAGAAAAATTCAGCAGTGAAAGAAAGTATATTTTATTTGTTTGGCAGTAAACATCACAAATATTGATAAATGGTGTATAATGGAAATTTAAAAAAGGTCTTCTGCTTAGAATTTGTGATATTATACATAGTTCCCATGATTGGTGGTGATTATCTGCTGTGTTGTGGTGACCTCACAGAATTCATATAAAAAGTAGCAGAATGACCTGCAGTAGATACAGAATAACCACACTGTGACTCGGACTGCTATTCATTTAGCCTCTGGAAAGGTAAATAGAGCTGGTTAAACCAGAAGAGAGGCTGCACAACGTATTGCTGTTATGATGTCACCAGGAATCAATATTGTCACAGAGAACTGTTTGGAGTGCAAACATTTTGTCTAAAATGTTTCTAACAATGGGAAGTTACTGAGTTGGTAACGATACAGAGACTACTGTTAATTGCAAACAGCAGACGTGACCTGGTGGGCGGGTCAGTCAGTCAAACCTCTAGAAGTCCCCAAGGGAAAGGTAGAGAAGATCGGCTCCATATGCAAGTATGGAAAATCATATAGCAGGTCTTGATTCTCAATTAAATTTATTTTATTTTATTATTTTTTTTTTTTTTTTTGCAAAAATCTAACTTTTTTTTATTATTTTATTTTTTGCGTGATCGTGATTAATTAAATGCAACCACAATCAGATTTTGGTCTGAACGGTTTGCGAGCCCAAAGTCCATATGTGTGGAAGAAGAAGGTAGATGTCAGTGCTCTGTTTATGGAGGTAATAATGCTGTGGATGGATTTTAAAGTTATTCAGCCATGGAGCTGATACAAATTGATTTTTTTGGGGGGGGGTCAAAAGATCAAAATTGGGCTGTTTATTCTCTCATGAAAAAGTCTGATGTGGGTTGCATTTGCCTGATGTGTGAACGTAGCCCAAGTTGATAACTGGGATCACAAGCTCCACACTGAATATAACCTCCTCCTGTTAACACACCTCTAGCTGGTTCTTTCTGTGTGTGCAGTTCCCCCTGGAATGTAGCCAAGTGTTTCTAATCTTCATATTTATCCTGATGGGTAGCAGTACATCTGCCACTGAGCCTCATAGCCCTCCTTCTTCTTGGTTTAGGGTGGAACGGTCCCACCCCAGGCGAGCACTGTGAGGTCTTCATCAGCCACATCCCTCGGGACGCCTACGAGGACCTGCTCATCCCCCTGTTCAGCTCTGTGGGACCTCTCTGGGAGTTCCGCCTTATGATGAACTTCAGTGGCCAGAACCGGGGCTTTGCCTACGCCAAATATGGCACACAGACCCTCGCCACAGAGGCCGTCCTCAAGCTGAACGGCTACATGCTGGAGCCCAAGTGCTACCTCTGTGTCCGCCGCAGCACAGAGAAGAGACACCTCTGTATTGGAAATCTGCCAGCTGCCACTAAACAAGAAGACCTGAAGCAGGTTAGGTCGGTCTGCCTGTTGGGAGTGACGTATTGAATTTACTACACAACTTATTAAAACTGAACAACAAGATGCAGTGATCAGAAATGAATTTATTCAAATTATGTACCAACACACAAGGCCTTCTGGAAGGTAATGGTAGCAGACTGATTTGTGTGTGTGTGTGTGTGTGTGTGTGTTTTCAAGGTGCTGCGGCGGCTGGTGGAGGGGGTGGAGAGGGTTTCTCTGAAGACCGGTCCTGGCATAGAGGGGGTCTCTGCTGTCGTTGCCTTCTCCTCCCATCATACCGCGTCGATGGCCAAGAAGGATCTAGTGGCAGGTAATCTAGTGACCAGTCCAACTTCTGGTCTTTTAATAATTTAACACATTTTGTCATTCTACAGGAATTCATACCACTTATAACTTATTCAGTTATTATTTGTGTCTTGCTACAACTACGTTTAATTTGTTTCAGTTTGTTTTAGATGGATCAGCACAGCACTGTGCCAAATTGTGATGGAAAATGTTGCTTGATTTTTATTTTTATTTATTTATTAAAGCTCCAGTATGTAACTTTTATAAATAACCTGCTTTTTATATATTTGTTAAAACTGTCTCGATATCCTGACAGTTTGTTATAAGATGGATAATCTGTGAAAAGTCTGATCTCCCTGAGCTGTTATTCCTGCCTGAAGAAATGCAGTGATGGCAACCAAAAACAACCAGTCAGAGCCAGGAGGAGTAGCTGGACGCTACATGTAAAATTAAAAAAAAAAAAATTAAAAAATATATATATATATCTAATACAAGTTACATTACTAAAGTTTTAACAAATGTAAATCTGAAAAGTTTTCTGTCCATTTCTATTCATTTACCCAAGTAAAAACCAGACCCTGGTTTTGACTAGGCTTTGTACAGTCTGGACCCTCGGCTATTGAGAAACCATCAGATCCGGGATGCGTGGCTTCTGCTGACATTTTAAACAATTGTCTGATTTTTACCCGATCACTAACATTTGGTCATGTGAGGCGCTGTAAATTTCCTGTAAACAATGATCCCTCACTGTGAAGAGAGAAGTGTTGAGCTGAATGTCATCTTTGCCAGCAATAAATTGCTTCAAACATCCCTCTTGTTCCAAATTTAATAGTCGTATATTTGCAAGCATGTCCAACACTAACTGAACAGCGTCCTTCACTTCATCTGCTGCCTTTGCTAAAACTACAGACAGAGCACGATTCGAAACCAGGCAAAAGAATTAACCTCATCGTTCACAATTTCTTTTGGCTTTTCTAGCAGTTTTCCCCTCAAACAATGAATCATTTTCCTTCCACATCAGTCTTCTTTTCCTTTGTGTCATAAAAATCCCAATAATACACAATACGTTGTGGTTTTAAGATGGGTATAAATACTTTGTAAGGAGCTGTTTGTGGTTTTTCTGTGTGACAGAGAAGAGCTGTAGTAAAGTCAGATAAACATCTCTACTCTGTCTAGAATTCAAGAAGCGATTTTCATTGGAGATTTCCATCAAGTGGGAGCCAGGAGAGAACCCGAGCCCCAGCCAGACATGTTCTCCTCCAGCCCAAAAGATTCTGCTGCAGCCGTGCTTCGTGTCCTGCAGCCAGGCCGTCTCTCACCCTTCAGCCCCGCCGCAGCTCCAGCCTGCTGCTCCACCCGTCTCTCCAGGGTTCTGCAGGGCAGTGGGGGAACCAGTCTCTCCCCTGCAGCCACACGCGTGTTACCCCCTCCCAACCTCCCACCACCCCCAGCAACACATGGTCTGTGCGCCGTCCCCAGTGATGCTCCTCCATAAGGTTTGCGAGGCCAACGGGTTTGGCCAGCCGTTCTATGAGCTACACTACAGTTTGGCCAGACCAGATGGTTTCGTTAAATTTACCTACGAGGTTCTGATCCCCGGCATCAGCAGCACCTTCAGGGGGAAGGTCATGGTCCTGCCAGGACCCAGTGTCAGAGTCATGCTGGAGGAGGCTCAGCGGGCCATCGCCCAGCAGCTGCTGCAGAGGATGTTCCACAACCAGCAGGCGGCCTGAACACTCCACCGGCTTCCAGCTGCAACGTTCCTGTTTCACATCTATGTTTTACTGACAACAAAAAATATTTCATTCTGCGTCATTTCTTCTTTTCTGCATGTTTTTAATAGTGTTTGTTAACCTGTATGTCCAGTTTGAGTTTAAGAAGTTTGTTTGCATGGTTTTTTTTTTAGAATTCTTGTTTTATTCTTGCTGTGTTCTGAGTTGCTCATTTTAATAAAAATGAGATTTGCTAAAAAATAAAAAAGGGTGGTGTTTTAAAATGTGCAATGAAGAATTAGGTCCTAAGTTGTGTTTTTTACTTAGGAGTAGGGTTTCAAATTAATTTTCATTTCATGTCACATGAAGATTATGAAGGTTGTAGCAGAATATATTGATAAAACTTAAAATATTAAAGCTGTCTTTGTATTGAATGAGGCCTTCTAAAAATTAACATCCTTTCACATTTAAGTAGTTTGTACACAACTCATTTGATTTGACTTTGATTTGACTTGACTTGACTTTGATTTGTTCAAGGACACAATTGTTATCTTGAAGGTTAAAGCTCGTCTAGAGGGCCACAGAAACATTTGACCTGAAAGGCCAGGTCTGGCCTGCAGGCTTTGAGTTTGACGTTTTCCAGACCCTTCATGATGAAAGTTTCTTCCATTACACCCGGTGTAATGGCCTCTCCACAGCTGGAAGTTCTGTGGAGAGGCTTTGCAGCTTTTCGATGCATCACCTAAACCCCCTCATCAACATTTGTCCAGCTCCGAGAGTCCTGGTGAGGAGGCGTTCATTAGATCCTGGTGTGTTGGATGATGGATGTATTGAAAACCTGCAGGACTGGGCACTCCTGTTTCAGATGAAATGTAAAGCTGGGGTCAGAATGTCACAACGATCTTTATACAGTATCTAAGGTTATACTGAAGGAATGCTGACTAAAAAGTTGCTTAGTTGGAACAGTTTTGTGGTTTTTAAGACCAGTTGATCAGGAAAGTGGTCTTGGTGAGTAGGTTACTGGTTGCTTGAATATTTTGTAGGTAACTAGTATGTACATCCTATTTAGTTTGTGCTAGTTGTGTGCTAACAGCATGGTCCTTATGTGTGTATTGGTTCTATGAGTTTAACATGAGCTTCAAGACAGGTTGAGATTTGAAACTGAACAAAATTCAGATGAATCACAGAATAACTAGACAGGTAAAGACTCAACCAATGATCAGCGCTGGACTGACCCAACGAGGTCTAACTGAGCACTGGAACAAGTAGGGGCAACATGAGACCAAGAAGACCAACAAAGACCCAGTGATGAAGCTACAATCTGCTCATCATGTTCTAATTGACTGTTCTTAGACTCCAAACACTGAAGTCAGACCTCAAACTGAAGCATGGTGGTATGCAGTGGGCACATTTATCATATACCAGAGATCATGGTTAAAATCCATCAAAACAATGGAAGAGGTCATGTTGCTTTAAGCTGCAGAGGAAATGATGCTAAAACCCCCAAAACAAAGCGCAGACTGGAGTGACCCGCCTCCCTGGACTAACACAAACATGTAGGATGACATGAAACATATTTCTGAGGCAAAAGCTGGAAACCTTTGGTCCTCCAGTGGTTCTGGGCTGGAGAACCAAAAGCTGCTCAACTCCATGCAGTTTTCAGAAACGGTCCTTACACAAGAAATATGAGCTCAGTTCAGGAAAATTACACCTTTAAGTTTTTTTGTTTTTTTTTCAGATTTATTTCTGGCACTAGTGGCCTCTAATGAACATTAGTGAGACAGGAAGCAGGGTGTGGAGAGAGGACTCTGCACTGTACCAGCTGAGCCACCCAGCAACTTTGATTTGTAGGCACTTTTTACTTTCTGGTGTAAATGTGTATAACAAAGTATAATGAATTTTTTTTAATCAAAATTAAGTTTCTTCCATTCTTTATATTTTTCATGATTATATTTAAAATATGTTTTCAATGGATTCATGAGGATGGAAGTATAAAATAGGGTTTACCAGTCAGCCACAGCAGTGAGGTTGTGCCCAGATGTTGCCTGAACACCTGCTGAACAGAATGACACCATCCTGCCCTCTAGTGGACAACTACAGTAACTCATTGGCAGATTTCAGAACGCTTTCATGTTTTTAATAGAGATTTGAAGCATGCAGACAGCAGGATGGAACTCATGTTTATTCAAAGTGAAGCAGTTCTGATGGAAATGTGTCTTCTTCTAACATGAACTCCTGATTACTAGGCAGAGTTCCTCCTGAAGAAACAGCTTCAGACCACAGTGGTGCTTTCACTATGACGTGTTCACCAGAGCACACAACTGGACAATAAACATGTAGAGTGAGTAAATGTCTGGATACAAGCTGAAGTCAGAGTATGTAATATGAACTCCATGGCAACCTGAGGTCCCCTCAGCAGGTCAGTCATGTTGTCCGGGCAATTACGCAGTGTGTGTGTCTGCTGCCCACATTAACCAGGGCTGCTCTCACATCCATCAGGATCTGTGTAGACTCTGTACACAGCAGAGAGCCGGCTAGACATCAGAGGTTCTCCTCTTGATCTCTGTGATGAGGTCAGAGCGGGGCACGTCCACCTGGAGGCAGATCCAGGAACAGCAGCTGGTAAATCACAGACAGGTCTATTTAGCTGTAGCCAGAGGCTGTGATGACGGTAGCTACCTCCTCTCTGCTGACCACCACACGCAGCTTCACTACGCCATCCTTCAGCTCCTGCTCTCCCAGTATGGCCACCAGAGGGATCCCCATCTCCTCGCACAGCTGCAGCTGACTCAGCAGTTTGGGGTTCTTCTTGTACATCACCTCAGCCTACACTCACACACACGCACACACACACACACACACACACACACACACACACACCATGAGCTTCCTGTCAGGAAAACTCATGAGCCTGCTAGGAGAAGATAAACAGCTCAAAGGGTCAGTCAACCTCCATTTTCACCAACTCAAATTTAAGAATGGAATATAAGAGCTGTGTCATGTCAGAAATGTGCAAAAGAAAACATTTTTATTATTCATAAGAATAGAAAGCTATTGAGGAAGAAATTGTACTTTTTATGAGATTAACTATAGATCTTGTGGCATTCTTGCTTTAGTTGAAGACTAATTATTGACATTCCTTTTAATATTTTGCTCTATTTGTCGTTGCAGCTGCATCTGTGGATCTCTGTTTGGTTCCAGGTTCTACTCCTTTTCTCCTCCACTGTAATTCTTCATTATTATTCATAAAGAGAACTTTAACATTGTCAAAACTAAATCCTTTCATATCCAGTATTAATTTAACTAATATAAATAATTATGTTATGCTTTACAGAACTACAAGAATGATCCATGAGTGAGTGACAGAGGAACAGATACACATTGCACAGAGACTCAAACTTCTGCCTGACAGAAAAGTCCATGGGAAAAATAACTAGATAGATTATAGAAGATTAAATAATTCTGCCACAACAAAATTTAAGATTTGTGATGAATGTGTTTAGAGGCCAATGTGAAGACATGTTAAGGTCTTCAAATTGGATGTGCGGACACCCTGCACTACTTGGTTTTGGTCTGGCACATAAAACCAAATGATACTCTCACCACACACACACCTTAATCCCAGCATTCCAGAGCTCAGTGACCAGCCTGAGTCTCTCCTCCAGCAGGTTTTTCTGAGCCGACGCCACAAGGACCTGGACCTCTGTGGTCCGGACCTTCTCTGCTGCCGCCTGAACATTAGCAGCAGAGTTAGTGTGAACATGAGCGGTCATCAGCAGCACTTTCCAGCCCACCCAGCTGCAGGCGTCACCTCAGCCCTCTGCTCCATGATGGAGAAGATCCTCTCAATGCCGATGCTGACCCCAACACACGGAACCTTCCTGTTCTTGGGGTCGAACATGCCCACCAGGCCATCATAGCGCCCCCCTCCAGCCACGCTCCCCACGCTGACGCTTTCCTCAGACCCGTTTTGGGCATCATTGGACGCCAGGGCTACTGGAGCCACCCCAGCCTGAGTCAGCACCGCCTCATAAATCACTCCTGTGTAATAATCCAGCCCACGGGCCAGGCTGAGGTCAAACACGACCTGAGGAACGACAAAGGAAATAAAAATGAATAATGTAGCCACAGAGACAGGATGCTGAGAGACAGAAGCAGACCATTCTGGGATGCATGACCTTGTCTGTGACCTGGAAGAGCTGCAGGTAGCTGAACAGAAGCTTAATGTCAGACAGGCCGGCGCAGGCCTGCTTACTCTGAGACATCCTGGGGTCCTGCAGGAGGCGCTCTGCTAGGTCCATTCCCCCTGAAACACACAACCAGCCTCACTCAGGTAGAGTTCCTGCAGGACGGCGACTGGCCCCCAGGCTCCAGGCCCCCAGGCTCCAGGCCCCCAGGCTCCAGGCCCCCAGGCTCCAGGCCCCCAGGCTCCGGCCCTCAGTGTTTCTTCCTCATCAGCTATATTTTTCTTCCATGTCTGACAGGTCGGAGCCATGACCATTGAAGATGTGTTTTGTACTTGAAACTCTTCTCTTGTTAACATTAGCAAAACACTCTTGCATCTTTGGGGCAAACATTGTCACTAATGAGTCTCTGTAATTTCTACTATTGAATATAGATTTTATGACCATTATATAATGACGTATCGCTACCAAAAAACAGGGTTTGCCTCCTAAAGGTGTAGGGACTGCCACCTGCTGGAGGTGTTAGCTGACTCACCATGCAGGCTGACGTATTCCCCAATCTGGTCTGCAGCCTCCTCAGATAATCCCTTCTCATCCACCATCTCCTTCCTCACTTCCTGCCAGGGCAACTGCAGGAGAAATAAACATGCATCAGCGCTGAATGATGGCAGACAGACCGAATATGCATCTTGGTTCGTCTCACCAGTAAGACGAACCTCCACCCACACACCACATGCAAATATAGTTACTAGCAGGAGAACAGCAGCCAGCTAACCATGACTGTAGTAATTGTTTATGCTGATGATTAATCAGATAAAAAAAATTGCCAGATTTTGCAGATTTTTCATTTAGCCACTTAAGACTGTAATAAAATATTAGAAATAGAATAAAAGATGCAAATAAATAATGTAATTATCTTTAAAGACAAAATAAGCATTTCATAGTCTAAAACACTATAGCTTAGTATTCCTTCAGCATATGCTTTGTCAAGAAGAGCAAACAGCAAAATGAGCTGCAAACACATGACTGATGCTAAATCCAAAACATAAAGAACAAAAGCTACAGAAAAAC